GCCCCGTGATTACTTTAAATGGCATGAGACACTGAGGGTGGGCTTGGGAGTCAGACCAATTCAGGTCTTTTGTCAGCTGCGTGACAGCATCTGTCTGGGCCTCAGTTTTCCATCTGTGAAGTTGGGTGGTTGTGGGATTTAGAGTAAAGGCCTGTCACAGTCCCAGCACAGAAAAGTCCAGATGCAATAATGATGAGGATGAGGTGGAAGCAGAGGATGACGATGACAAAGAGAAGTACCGTTCCCAATGGAGCACACCCTTGGAGAGAGGAGGGGACCCACTTAGGCACAGCACTCTCAGCTGAAGGTTGGGGGGGTGGAACCTCACCATTGACAGAGTGTGATGAGCCAACATCACACTGTTGAAGCCATGCTACAACCTGGCTCTCGTGGTTACTTGGAGAAAGCAGGTGCTGGGAGTTTGATGGGTGACACTCCCCAACTCCAGTGCAGTTTTCAACCAGAATAGAGACCACTTGTCTTCTTGCCAGACTCATTCTCTTCTAGGAGGGGTTTATCTGGTACAAAGAGAGCAAGAAGTTCTTGGCCAATAGCGCCTCAACCCCCACCATAGGGCTAGAAAAAGGTAAGAGTGGAGAGGGCATGGGGTTATCTGCAGCCCTCGGGAGACAGACCAGCCTCCTCACTTTCACTAAGAAAGTCCCCCATGGCTTCCCAGCCACCAGCCCTCACCAGCGCCTCCTCACACTCTGTACTCTAACATGTTCGAGCTCCTCCATTCGTGCCACATTCAGTGTCACCTCCAGGCCTTGACAGATGCAGTTCCCCCTGCCCTGAACACTCACCTCCCCCCAACACACACACCATGCTTCCATCAGACATCACCTGGATAGATCCAACCCTTCATTCAGATCTCTTCCCAGCATTTCCTCCATGGGATATTCCCTGACCCCCAAGACTGGGTTAGACACTCCTGCTGTGTGCCCCAAAGTCCTTGGACTCCCCCCAGAATGGTTCTCAGGATGCTGGGCTGTGGTTGCTGTCACTTGTTGATCTCCCCAGTAAAACTCTAGGGGGCAGAGCTTGTGTCTGCCTGGGTCACTGCTGTAGCCCCAGCACCTAGCTGCATGCCAGGCCCAGAGCAGGCCACAATGAGTACATGTTGGGTGAAGAAGTCGGTGACTTGGTAAAGGGCTCCACTTGGGGCTCCCCATGAGCAGAGAGCTCAGAGGAGCCAACCTTCCTCTCTACCCCCACCCCACCTTTTGATCTCAAACCTGATTCTTACTGGTTTCGTGTTTTCTTGATTCACCGCCTTGCGATTTTCCTTTGTCTTGAGGAAAGTTCCCTCTGACAATCCCCAACATGTCTTAGTCATGCTGAGGGGAACAGATGAAAGGGATCATAATTGACTGGATTTGACCTGAGTTACAGTAACAATGGCACGTTCCTGTGGCTGAGGGTGTTGGTGGCTGCAAAGATGCATCAAGACATTCCCGGGCGAGAGATTCCCAAGAGGTCAGGAAGATCAGAGCCATCTGAAGATGTCTGAGTGTCACAACCAGATAGTGTCGAGGCAGAGCAGTCCTTAGAGACCATCTGGACCATCACCCCCATTCCTTCCTTACTGGTTCAGTCACTCATTCCTTTAACAAGCTCAGACCAAGTGCCTTCAGGGGGGAAACTGACGCCAGGATAGCAGAGCTCACTCTTAGTTGCACAGTTGTTTCAGAACAGCGCTTCTCTGCTCTTTAGAAGCCCATCTCTGACCTTAGAAAGTGCTAAAACTGTCAGAGGCCAGATAGGCAGTGCTAGGGGGGCAAGATTCGGAGCCAGACCAAACTTCGGCAAGTTACCTCCCTTCTCTGAGTCTCAGGCTCCTCATCTGTAAGTGAAAGCAACAGTATCTACCTCTCACAGTTATAAGAAGATGAGATGACATACGGAATCTGTCCCATGCCTGTCGTAAGAAGCCTCCCCAGCACCATCGCTGTGTCAGGAGGTCCCATAAGCTTTCACAGGCCCTGTCCCCTCCTGTCCCTCACTGCACCATTCAGCAATTATCAACCTGCTTTTCTGCCTCCAGCACTAGACTAAGAGTGTCGTGGAGAAAGAGACCTCGTCTACTGTGTTCACAATGTTATTTCCAACTCCTGACACAGAAAAGGCACCAATTAATATTTGTCAAATGGGTGTAAAGATAAACAAATGATCTGAAGAAGGGGTTAAAATAAATGGAGACCCCCAGTTAGATACGTTCATGAAGAGGCGGTGTTGGGACTTTCACCCTCGCCTTATCATCCATTACTATATCTTTAACCTCACACTCGACTGCTTCTCCAGGGTTTTATTTATTGGTGGTGGTGGTGGTTCATTTCTTTAAATTTGCCTTTAGATTTCATGAGAATCCCCTCAGATAGTCCCAGTGGTTCTCAGTCTAGTAAGAGGAGCAGGGAAGGGAACACATTTTGTTCGTGTTTGGGCCTGAGATAGGGTGAGAGCAGCAGGACCCCGAGGCCAAGAGGGCCAGAAGCAGCCTTGACATGTAGGAGAGACTCAAAGGAGAGGGGAACTCAAGGAGATCAAAGTGCTTGAGATTTATGAGTGTTGGAATGATAGATGTTGGAGCCAAAAGGCTTTTTAGAGACCATCCAGCTGTCATTCTCATTCCTCCATAATTCACTCATTTACTCTTTCCTCCCTTTAGCAAGAACAAGACCAGGGCTTTCTGCATTGGGAGACTGCGTTCTCAGGAAATGTTCTACATGTGTGAAGTCACCTGTCTTTTTCTCAGCTTTTTACTTATATAATCATTGCTTCCCACAAAAGGCATTTCTGACAAGCCTCTTCTTTTAGGATTTGTTTGTCTCTGTATTCGGTGGGGGCTTAATAATTGTTGGGAGTCAGAGAGAGCAGGAAGAACACCAGCTTTGGAGCCAGGTCAAATGGACTTGAGTCTTTGCTTGGTCACTGATAAGCTCTGTCGCCTCAGACAATCTAGTTAACCTCTCTGAGCTAGAGGTTTATAATCCGTAAAATGGGCATGGTAATCCCTGCTCCCTTGGCTCACACTTCCCAGATTCCAATCTTGGCTCCAACCCTCAGAAGTTGTGTGGTTCGGTAGAATGGAGGTATGTGAGGAAATGGACTCCACTCAGGACATTCAGTGTGCTGCATGGGTGGCAGAGACAGTGTGGTTCTGAAGCCTGAGCTGTGGGAACTGTTTCTCCACTCAGCGGGTCACATCCCAACTCAGAAAATTCCTAGCCTTGGCAAAGGCAGCAGCTCCATTCGTTGGCAGACCCATTCTGCTGTGCCATTTTAGGAGGTGTTAGAAATTCAGCCTAGATTTTGTTTCTCCAGCCCTCCTAATGATTCTTTGTGCTATCTAGAGTTCTTATACATTCCTTACTTGTTAAAATAGCATAGGAGCGTCTGTTGGTTGCAACTGAGAATCTAACCAATATGAAGGATTATATGGCAACCCTGAAGTCATCCATTGTCATACGAGTGTTGTCAATGTTCAGGAGAGTCTTGTCACTCACTGTCATATTCCACAATCTAAAAAAAAGGAAACAGCATGGAAGCCCCTGCTGTGACCCACTGCCAGGAGCACAAGAGGCCAGCAAAGCCACAAGACGTTAGGACCCCATCCAGGAAGATGCTCAAGAGGTAGGAGGAGCTTCCCACAGCTGGTTCATGACACAGACCCCTCACAGCCTTCAGCAAGGATGTTCAATGTAGCCTTCATTCATTCAACAAATATTTGAAGATCTACTACAAAAGATACTGTGGGGTTTAGAGGTCAACAAGATGCTTCTCCTCAGGGAGCCCATAGTCTACAACAATGTCCAAAGTGTTCTAGAAGAATTCAAGGAAAAGAGAGATGATGACTTGGCGGCCATGAGAGATCAAGAAAGACTTCATGGAGGAGGTGGCGATTGAATTGGTCCCTGAAGGATGACTAAGATTGCACATGAATAAATAAATGGAAGAGGTAGAAGAAACAGGATATCCAGAGGCTGTTCACTAGAAGGTGTGGAGGCAAGGGGGACAGGCGGGAACAGTGAATTAGCTAGACTGTGGGCTACTTAAAAGCAGAGACCAAGTGCGGTCCATCACAATGTCTGCCCAGGGCAACACTGAGTGTAGTGACTCGCTAAATTGAGAAGATGAGTAAATGGATAGGTGAACATGTGGATGAATGATGGATGGATGCATGAGTGGATAGATGACTTCCATCCCCAGAGTTCTAGATCGTCTCCATCACCTGAACAACTATAATAGTATATGTATCTGGGTCCAAGAAAACTGAAAAGATCCAGACAGACCCCTATAGGAGCCCAGGAGAAGCAGGAAGGGAGAGATAGGATTTTTAGTTTTCCAAACTAGAAAGCTCTGAACTCTTACAGGGTGAGAGGAGAGACGGGTACAAATGCTCTGCCCTCCTGAGCCATATGACCCATCTGTTTTGGGCAACAGCACACTTACCTCTTTTTTTTCTCTAATAAGATTACAGAAGTTTTAAACCAACAGGGACCTGAGAGCTGGTCTACCCATGCTCTGCATTACACTGGTTGGGAGAGCAGGTCCAGAGAGGGCATCAGTGTTCCCAAGGTCACACAGTGAATTGGTGGCAGACGCAGGACTGGACCCCTGGTTCCCAGGATAGTGCCCCCATCGAGATGCTCCCTCCCTCACTGCTTCTACATTTCCAACCTGGAGCCACGCCAAGAGGAGGCTCCCACACCTAGTCCCAAGCCCGGCCAGGTGAATCCAGACCTCTTCCCAGCACTGCTCAGACTCTGAAAGGTGGGGACATGGACATGAAAGTCCAAAGCACAGGCCAAAGACCCATCCATGGGGCCATCAGAAGCCAAACACAAGCCTGTTTCTGAAGAAAGCTTAAAGTGTCCAAAAGATGGGTTCCCTGGCTCACGTCTAAGCTTAGAGTCCAGCGCCTTGCCTTTTTGGAAGACTGAGTGTGTGTGTAAGTGTGTGACAGACAGAGAGACGGAGCTCAGCGCTTCCCCGCCTACCTGGTTCTTGAGACCCTCAATAGCGTCGTAATAGGAGGAGTAATCTTTTGGGGAGGATTTGGGCCCCTGCTTGGCATACCTTTCCCAGATCTTATTCTCCAGGTCAGCTCTGGCCTCCTCCAATGCCTGCACTTTATCCAAGTAGAAAGCCAGGTGGGCATTGAGGCTTTGCATGGTGTTCTTCTCATCAGCAGTCACAATGCCACCATCACCGCCTCTGGCACCACCTCCAAAGCAGGCTGCTGCCCTCAGAATTCCACTACAATTGCCCGGGGAAGGCTGAGCTGCTGGTGGGGACCACTGCAGAGCTGGCCCTGTCCCCACACCCACCTGCCGGGGGCCAGCGAGGCAAACACCTGACAGTTCATGGGCTCCAGGTCAGCTGTCACCCCTGTCTCTTCCCTGAATTTTGGACTTATCTGGCCAATTCTCTTCCTGCATTGAGGGAACCCTGGTCACTGCCTGGTCCCCTCCCTTCTCAGAGAGCTAAGAAGGCCCAGGGCTTTCTCCCACATCTGGGCAGGCCTGCACATCGGCTGCAGTGCCTGCTTACTGGGGCTCAGGGCAGCAGTGGAACAGAGAGAGGGCTGCCTCCCAGCCCCACCCTCCCTGCCCCAGGGGCCTTGGCCACAGATTCCTCCTGAGAAGCCCCTTCATGTAGATTTGTCAGGAGCCATAAAGACAGTGTGTATGTGGTGGGGGGAGGGCCTTGTCTGGAGGGGCCTCTGCGTAAATGCCCAACTACTCCCCACATGCGGCCCTGCTCCCCCCACCTGTCAGTCCTCTCCACATCTGGCCCTGTTTCCAACATGAAGAGGAGCTTGCTGTGCCAGACAACTCCTATGGCCTGGTCTTACTCTAGTCGCACCTAGGCGTCTTTCTTTCCCTTCCTCCAAGCTCTGTCTGGCTCAGGGAACCAGACTGGGCAAAGTGGGTTCAAGGATGAAGGAGGCTGACAGCACCCCAGCCTGAGGGAGGGATTCCTTCTAGACCAAGGGTCGGCAAACTTTTGAGACGAAGAGCCAATCCTGTCCCTCACAACAATTTAAAAATTATTCGAGAGCCATAAAACAAATGAAATCACCATTATGTGAATAACATCCTTAAAAAATTTTATAGATGAAACTATGATAGTATTATTTTCATTTTCAATTTTACTTCAGAGCCACATGTACGTATCCAAAGAGCCGCACGTGGCTCGCGAGCCGCAGTTTGCCGACCCCTTCTCAGGGCTCAGGGGCTGCCCTCTGAGCCCCACCTCCGACACCCTCTGTGGGGAAGCAAGAAATGGAGCACACGCAGCTCAGGGCACCCTGGCACCTGAGACCCAGGGAGAACCAGCCCTGCCTTTCTGCCCCATGTGCAAGGCTGCAGCTGGCACCCACAGTGCCAGCATCCGCAGTGTGGGCCCTGCCCTTGGAGGGGGAAGGAGTGGAAGAGAAGGGGATACAAGGACTCAAGCAGCTGAGAAATAAAAAGGGAACCAAACAGAGTCTATGAGCTGTCCTCCAAGGACAAGGGGTATGGGGACTTACGCGTTGCGGGGAAAACAAGGACAGCCTTCCTCTGGCCATGGGAGCCCTGCTGCTGGCCTATAACCAGCTGCTCACATACCCCACTTCCTCCTCCTCGCTTGTTGCCTGTCGTTGAGCCCAGGTGGGGCCCAGGGAGGGTCCTGAGTCATCAGGTGTCTGACCGCTGGAGGAGAGAGCGCAGGCGTGGTATGGGCCCACCCCTCCATTAGCCATTTGGCAGGTGCTTCAGGGCCAAGGAGCCTGCACCTGCCTATCAATGCTGGGTTTTTCCTCACAGGTTAGGCACCCACTGCCGCCCCACCTAGCCTAAGGGGCTCCACCAGACTAAGGGGCATGGGCAAGGGTGGGGGCTTGGGGTGGGCCCTCAGAGGGTTCCTCCACCTGGGTCCGGACACCCCAGCCTGTCTCGGCAAGGACGCACTAAGCAGAGAGGTGCGGGGCACCAGCCTCGGTGCTGGACAGGTGTGAGTCTAAAGCCAGGTTCTTCCACTTACTTGGGGAAAGTTGCTTTCTCTCTCTGAACAAATGTAGAATTCAAATGGGGGTGAATGCTGTTGGTGGGAAAATGGGGAGCACGTAATGAGGGTGTGGTCCCTTCTAGGCGACCAGGGAGGGTATCCCCGAGAAAGAGACACTTGAGTGATGGGTGAGTAGGAGTGGCCCAGGAGAAGAGCATCCTGGGGGAGGGACAGGCAGCATGTGCAAGTGTCCTGAGATGAGAAGGAGCAATGGGACTGCCAGGGCAGAAGGCCAGTGTGGCTCACGAGCAGTGAGTGGGCCCAGCAAAGGATGTTGGTGGCAAAAAATAATTTTGATCTCGCGACATTGTTGTGAGGCTTAAAAGAGCTAATGTTGTAAAGCTGTTGGTGTGGGTCGTTTTCCTGACTGTCCATGGCATCGTGTCTGCCCCTGACTTGCCCTTGGACTGTCTGGATGATGGGTTCTCAGCCATCTCACCCCTCTAGTCTGTTGAGCCCCCATTAAGATGGAGGACCTGTGTTAAGAGGGGCTGGGAGGAGGGCACAAAGCTGAAGGAGCATGGTTTCTTCCATCAAGGACCCTCCAGGCCTCCAGGCAAGACCTCCACTGCTTTGCTTTCCTTGGGGTTTTAATCTTCAGTCATTTTGTGAGGTCGGTCCTAATTTTTACAGGTGAGCACGTTGAGGCTCAGAGAGGGTAAGCATCTTAGCCACACTCACAGAGCTAAACAAACAGGAGGTAGACCGAGTTTTGTCCTGTATGAATGGGCGCTAAGAGGTGCACAAGCCTTGTGCTCCCTCTCTCTACCCCCAGCCTCACATACTTTCTGGGACCCTCTCTGCATTCCTCCTCAATTTATCTCTCCCCTTGTTCAGCCTGTTTCAATTCACCCCTAGGTTCCCCCACACCCAAAACAGTAAGTTTCAAAAAATGTGTGAGTGAATGAATAAACAAATGATCCTCGCTACCTAGTCCTAGCCCAGGGCCTTCACTAACTCTCTCTCTCTCTCTCTCTCTCTCTCTCTCTCTCCTGTCTATATGCATTTCTGTTTCTCTCTATCTCTCTGTGTCTCTTCTCACTCTTTCTCCCACGCTGAGTCACCCCAAAGTTAATCAGGGTACCTCAAAGGAAAAAGGCTTCCTTTCTCACCCCGGTCCTACACCTGATGGTGCTGCACAGAGAAGCCCCACCAGGAAAGCACTGGGGCAGCAAAAAACAGGGCCTCGGAGCTTGTGCCTGTCCTGTGTGTACCTGAGGCCAAGCCACTGTCTTGGAAGACCTTGGCATTCCCTGAGCCCTGTGTGGCAGCATCCAAGCTCAGTGAGGTAGGCCAGGCCAGGACATCAGGACCTCCCGCCTCTGAGCCTCAAGCCCCCTTGGGATTGCCTCCTCTGACAGCAGCCTGTAGGACTAGCTGACTGCATTACCCAAACCAGGTCACCTGGGGCCTTGGGGAAGACCATTCACACCATGGAGAGATATGCCACTTGTTGCCTGCAAAGTTCCCTGGTTACACTTGGGGTCTTTCCTATAAAAAAAAAAGAGCCCCCAAAACTAAAAAGGACCCAGAATGTCAAGGTGGGTCCCATCTCATAAAACAAAAACCCTAGAGTCAGTTAAGAAGAATTCTTGCTGGTCTTAGTGGACTCTCATCTTCATCCCATCCCTAAGAAAACAGAACAGCAATGAAGCACAGGCTTGATCAGGGACCTAAGCGCTGGGCTGGGCTTGGCACTTTCAGTCTGTAGCACCTGGAGCAGGCCACTGTCCCCCAAAGATGAAGAGGCTGGAGGAGACATCTCTGCAGCCATCCCAGCATTGTCCTTATGCGTTCTCAGGGGGATGGAGAGGATCACTCCTCCCAGATTGCACTGGGAGAAGTGGAGCCTGAAGGGCCACGTGACCCACCCAGGACGCTGAGAGGCAACTCCTCCTGCCTCCACTAGTCTGTGCTATGGAGTCGCTTTCCCGGTTTCCCAAGAGTTTGATCTGGGGTGGGGGTGGGGAGGCAGTCTTGCCATTGACAGAGTGGCTGGCCCAGGTCTTATTTGGGTGCTCGTGGCACCAGTTCCTGTGGATGAGAGCACTGGCCAGCCCCAGAACCCAAAGTGTTGGCTTCACTCTTCCCAATGGGGCACGGTAGTGGGGTACCCCAGAGGGAAGTGGACTCCACATGGGACTCTGGGATAGCTGCTCTGCCTGCTTTTTTCCTCTGGGGCCCAGCGACACAGGGTGGGACCACCTAGAAGCTCCCTGCTTGACACCCTCCCCTTCCACTTCTGAGCCTGCTTTTAGCCAGGTTGCCTGCAGACGCCATCTTTACCCTTAGGCAAGCCCACTCTTCCTGTATTCCCTGTAAGCAGTGATGGCAGCCTCTCAAGATGAGGGGAAGCTGACTCCACCACACCCAAGTGTAAGAAATCTCACATTGCTATATACCTCTAAAGCGGATGTTTTTGGGGGTGGGAACTTTAACCTGGTACCATCTCCAAGGCAGAGGGATGCCTGGGGATTCTTATGCAGTGCCGGGCGTTCTAGGCTCAGTCCTCACTGTGAGTGCTGATGTTCTGCTCTCCGTCCAGGTCCATGTGGCCTCCCAAATGTGGACCACTCCCCAGATTCCATGCCACACTTGAACTCATTGCCCAGCTGGGAACAGTGGTCCCCAGGGTTCAGCATCCCTAGGGGAGTCACGCAGCCCCTCCCCCAGTGTCCTATCTCTTCTAGGGTCACAAAACCATCCCTCCCCAGCCTCTGAGGGAGCTCCTTCAAACCTCCCTCCTCCCTGAGTCATCCACTCATACCTCCAAAACTCTGGTCACTCTGTGGCCCACCCTCACCCAGGGATCACCCCCCCCAGATCAATTCTTCTTAATGCCAAAACTCAGGTTAGAAGATATCCAGGAGTTTCGGGGACACAGGCTTCTCTTCCCTGGAGTGAAGATGGGGTCACAAGAAACCAACATCACTTCATTCCTTTTCCTAATAACTCACCCTCCTCGGCTATCATTTATAGAACACCAACTATGTGCCAAACATGATGCTTAACTCATTACCTGCATGAAATCACCTAATCCTTCATCAACCTTATATAGTAAGGGTTTCACTCCCCATTTTGTAAAAGAGGATCTTGCCCAAGCTCTTCCAGACTAGCCAGGATGCCAACCCAGGATGTCTGATTCCAAAACCCAGGCTTTTAACCCCCTTGTCCTCAAAAATCATGTCTTTCTTTAACCCCACCTGTGGCTCTCCCTAGAAGCTTCATTCATGCAGCCAAATGAGCAAGCTGTTGAAACTGACACAGTCACTAGTCAGCTCTTTCCTAGCTCCAGGCAGTGAGCCCTACCCATCTCTAGAATCTTCATTATTCACTCAGGGGAAGTTCTCCCCTTACCCCTCCTTTTCCAGCCTCCCAAAGGCAGGAAAAGACACTCCCCACCAGAGGAGGCACCTACAACCCTGGCTCTGAATATGCATTCACTCACTGGGTTCCCATATCAACTCCCAGAAACAGGGTTCACCATGCTTACTAGAAACTGAGGCTTTCCAAGATCACTGAGCTAATGCAGAACAGAGCCTGGGTTAGAATCCAGTCAGTTTATTCCCAAAGGCTCTGAAAATGGCCTCATCATGGATAGAAAGTCACCATGCACAAGAGGTAGGTGACCTATTATCCCTCACACAGAGGTGCCCTAAGTTGGCACTGTGTTAGTGACCTCACATGCATTCTTCCAGCGATCCTCATAACAAGCCCACGAGGGAGGTACTATCATTATACCCACATTTGAGATGTGGAAATTGAGGATTGGAGATGATTAACTTGCCGTCCCTCAAATAAAAGCAGGCAGGATTGGGCTGGCCGAGTGGCGCGATGGTTAAGAGCTGGCTTGGGATGCCAGAGGGCCCCGGTTCAGATCCCACATATGAGGGCCAGTGACACTGCCCTC